GTATTTGGTATTACCAGGCATTACAGAGGTGATGTTGGTTTAAAATGTTGTAGTGGTTCTGGCGATTATAGCAAGGAAAAGCGGACCCTTTACTACCTGCTGCTCTTGATAGGTCAAATGCCCACTCTTCAGTAGACTTAGTAGTGATACATGAGTACATTTGAATCAATTATTCTTAAATAGGATGATAGATATGATGATGGTGCATTTGAGTTGCTTTACTGTCCAATTTTTGAATTGATTAAAGGTAGGCTATGCAGTTTTGGCTCAGCCTAATTACTGGTTGGCTGGAAACTTTTCAGCCATATATGCCTTTACATCCAAACTATTGAGCTGAAATACTTTACTAATGGTAAGTCATGCAAAATATGTATACACAGGCAAAGCTGTTAACATTGATTGAACTTTCTATCTTACCTCTTTAATATCTGAAGATGTTATTTTTATTCCATACATTATGTTTATTGAAAGAGTTTTGCCCTCAAATAATCTTTGCCGGATTTGGCCTCAAACGATCTTGAATCAGCTGAGATATGGGGGCACCACATCTGTGAGTTCCCTAGCTTACAATTTTCCTTCATTCTTTCTTAAATCATACAGGTGACAAATCAGACAAACCTCTGTACAAGGTGAGTGGAAGACCCTAATGTTTTTTGTGTAGCACTTAACCTATCGCTAACTCCGTTTTTTAACCTGCTTTTAAAACCATGTTAACTTGCCATCAATGTCCATTATCCCGCCACTCTCCTTTCTACTCCAGTCTTTCCCAAAACCCAGCATTCCTTTCTCTCCAGGATTCATTTGTTGTTTCTTTTTCTTTCTCCAGAATCTCCACCTCTTTACTCTCTTGCCAGTTCATTGCTGACTCCCTATCCCTCTCTTATTTTTATATCTCCATCCTGACTCTCTATCTCTGCACTCTCTCTATTGTATCCTACCAAACTTTGTATTTCTAATTTTTCCTGAGATATCCTTAATCTCTCTTCTGGAATATACCATTCTAACTGCTCTTTGAATATCAATCCTTCTAGAACATACCAATCATGATTCTCCACTCTACCAGAATCCTCCACAACTCCCAAGCTAACATCCCTACCAGAATCTCGTCCATAACTGTCCACCTCTAATCTCTACCAGAATTTTCTACATTACTCTCTACTTTTCATCCCTACCAGATCTCCATAACTCTCCACCTCTCATCTCTACCAGAATTTCCTCCATAACTCTCCACCTCTCATCTCTACCAGAATCTCCTCCATAACTTTCCACCTCTAATCTCTACCAGAATTTCCTCCATAACTCTCCACCTCTTCATCTCTACCAGAATCTCCTCTATAACTTTCCACCTCTCATCTCTACCAGAATTTCCTCCATAACTCTCCACCTCTCATCTCTACCAGAATCTCCTCCATAACTTTCCACCTCTAATCTCTACCAGAATTTCCTACATAACTCTCCACCTCTTCATCTCTACCAGAATCTCCTCCATAACTTTCCACCTCTAACCTCTACCAGAATCTCCTCCATAACTTTCCACCTCTCACCTCTACCAGAATTTCCTATATAACTCTCTGCCTCTCATCTCTACCAGAATTTCCTCCATAACTCTCCACCTCTAATCTCTACCAGGATTTCCTACATAACTCTCTACTTTTCATCCCTACCAGATCTCCATAACTCTCCACCTCTCATTTCAACCAGAATTTCCTCCATAACTCTCTACCTTTCATCCCTACCAGAATCTCCTCCATAACTCTCCACCTCTCATCTCTACCAGAATCTCCCCCATAACTTTCCACCTTTCACATCTACCAGAACTTCCTCCATAGCTCCCAAACTCTCATCCCTACCAGAATCTCCTCCATAACTCTCCTTCATCTCTACCAGCATCTCTTCCATAACTCTCCACCTCTCATCTCTAGCAGAATCTCCTCTATAACTCTCCACCTCTAATCTCTACCAAAATCTCCTCTATAACTCTATCTTTCTTCTCTCCTTAGACTCTCCCACAACACAAGCACAGAGTGCAAGAGAAAAAAACACATGTTAAGAAGCAAAGAGGTAATCAATGTAAGGAGTATACACAATCTGCCAAAATGTCTCAAATTTTCTTGCTTCCCAAGAATGCATTATCAGTGGTGTGACTCCAGAGACACAGGCACCAATCTGCAGAAAGGCTCTCGGTCTCTTTTTAATCTACATTTTGAAAAGACAGCCTGGTAAAGTACATTATTAATATTCACCAGGACTGAGTCAAGCAAATCCAATCTCCGCTCTCTCTTGCAGAGCTACCCCTGCTGCTGGGACTGTCCCCATCTAACACCTCCAGGTTGTGCTTGCATCTCCCTCTGGGGCTCAATTCTCCCCTACATCACTAATGTATCTCTACAGCTTCCCTTCCCCATGCACGCAGCAGGCAGATACAGGCATTTGACACAACTAAATGTTGAATGCTGATGATTCCCATGGTGGGTGTAGCTCTGCAAGAGAGCAAAGTTTGGATTCACCGGAGTCGGTACTGGCAAGTAATATCAATGTACATTGGCAGCTGCCTTTTTTCATTACATTACCAGTGACTGAAACAAGTATACAGATTAGAAAGTCAGAAGTCCTTATTTACATGCTTGTTCTGGTTCAGTGACTTAAAACATTGAAATGAGAGCTTCAGAATGACAGCCAGGCAACTAGAATTTTCAGATACAGAGGGCATTAATGGCAATCTCCATGTTTTTGGTATAATGCTGTTTAAATGTTGCTTAGGGAAACTTTGCATCCTATCTGCAAGCTTAAGACTTTGTAACACAACTTAACTCAGAACTCCAGTCAGAATATTGATTAACCCTTGCAGTGGGGCTACCCCCGCACTGCAAGGGTTAACTGCTCGTTTTTGTCTAGGTTAAAAAAAAAAAGCTAAATTCTATACAAAGTGTATAGGACGCTATACGTGAGGACGCTGAGGAACATTCCAATGCTGCAGCATAGGAGGGAGGCTTCAGTGACCGGAGAAGCAGGCGGTTCAGGTGTTCTTCTTTAATTCCATCCTGGCTGTGCAGGTGACATTTCCTCTTAGCAGGATAATGTAATCGCTCTTATAAGGTTAAAGGGCTAGTCTACCCAAAATAACTATTTCAGGTTTTTTTTTCTCTACACATCTTTACATCCATTTCACTCTCCTGCCCCTCCCTCCAGGACAGCCGACGCGAGCGAAGCAGTAATTTCCAGGCCTTTGTTCGGATGGCGCTGGAGACTCTGCTGGGTTCATGCCGCAGAAAGCGCGGGGTCCGTCATACATCCGCAGACCATATTCAGCCAACCAAAACTTTAATGTCTTGGCACAGACAAACGCTTCCGGTCAGACCCTTCTTGTTGGTACGGTCCTCAAGGGGGCTCTGAGAATGTGAGCGAAGATAAACAAGAGTGCGTGAATGACTGGTCACGAGCTACGTGCACACATTTCCTGTTTGTTTGTGACATTGCTTGGCTCTTGGAATAAACATTATTTTGCAAAGTTTTTTGTGTGGATCTCTTTATTGTTACACACTCTAGAGCTGTCCAGTGGCAGTTCTGTGACATTTGTTAATCCCTCCATTATTCTGGAGACTCTGAATAGTTTAGAGAATCAGGTATCAGAATACTGCTGGTGTATTAAAGGAGAGCTATCATGAGAGAATCATGGAGGCCGTCACTGCTGACAGGTTACTGAATATGCTAGCTGCCTGGCTGTCATGCTAATGCATTGGCTTCAATGTTTCTTAAGTCACTGGCCTGGAACAAGTATAAGTATAAGTAATTCTGACATGTATGTATACTATGGGTCTGTTACTTCAAAAGTATTGACATCAGACAAGCAAAAGATTATTTTATAAAGAGGCCAGCAATGGGAGCCCCTGTACTTCTCTCATAATAGAGCCACAATAAGTAATAATCTTATCTGGATAGGGAAAAAAAACGGAGCTTCTACTGCCGACTTCTTAGATTCAGATCGTCAAGTAGATACTCATTCCACAAGTGAGTAATGGATCAGGAACAAGCATGCCATTGAAGTCTTGCTCCCATCCTGGATTGAGCTATGTCAATGATTCAACAGGTAAAGAATCCAAGATGAGGATAACAGTCTGAACCTAAAAAAACAGGAAAGTAATGGCAGCTCCCACTTTTTTCTATTCCTACACATTCACTCTAAAGTAAACCTGTGAAAACAACCCATTGCCGCCCCCCTTCCCGAACTGCTCTGAACCCTGCTGCCTCTCAGTCAAGTTAGAATCCTGGATATAGGACAAAAACATGTACCTAGCACAAAGTGTGGGAGGGGGTTTGGGTTTTATTTTTTGCCAGGTTCGCGTTCAGAACTGTCTGTATTGGTAGTAGGAGTTTCTTCTGAAAGTTGGTGTCTGATCTTGGTATGGAAGTTTTTTGGATTCAGAAATGTTTGTGGCTTTGAATAGAATGGGGAAAGAATAAACCTCTGTTACATTTTAATTGTCATCTGTGCCCCCCTGGGAAGATTAACACTGTCTATTTGTAGTGTTGAGCAGTGAGTGATGGCAAATCCAAACTTTACAAGGATCACCAGAACAGGAGGTGAGATTTTCCCTCACTTCCTGTTGTGTCTCTGGTCCAGGATGCAAAGGGAAATCACCCCAAACAGGCCCAATCAGCAAAAAAAAACAAAACAAAACAAGCTTCTACTCTATACAAAATGTTTTGATAAATGTTAAAACTCAGGGGCAACGTGTATCACTGCATTAAACAGTATGGGGTGAGAGCCATTCTTCCTCGGAAACTGTATACATTTGTTCTGTGTGAATGTTATATACATATATTATAACATATACGGTATGTATATATTGTGTGATAGTTATTGATATACATATAAAAATATATATATATATACGGTAGCTTTCATAGATTTCCTTAAAATTAAACAAAAAAGTTCACTAATGAATCTGTTTTATAGGAAAATATACCACCCAATCTGTACAAAACAAAAACTTTATTGGCAGAATCACAGAAATCGACAGACAGCTTGACCTTTTCAGATACCGCTAGTGATGGATAGCTGACCGTTGCGATCACGGGAGGCAGTATGTGCATATATGATAATGGTGCTGTGTGTCTGTTGGCAGTCAATGGCGCACACAGGCTGTTTTCAGTATGGTCCCAGTGTTCATATTCCGTTCACTTACCATCCAGGCATAAATTGCCCCTGTGCAACTCTGCCCAGCTACCTTATCGGCTCAGCAAATCTGTATGGCAGAAGTTGGTCACACCCATAAGGTGGAGAAGTTTTTGTTTGTGGATAGCACGCTGCAAACGTTGGCAGTGTCCTCCTCTTAGCCAAGAAGCCGATAGAACACCCAGCATACAAAAGTCAGCCAATGGCCAGCCCAGCCCAGCTCAGACCACTTGTTAACAGTGTGTGCCATCCCGTACCCCTGAAAAAAAATAAGGATAAGATAAACAAACATGTTACAGAATATTCACATTCTGTACACCGAAATATAATGAAACCGCTAACAATTAAATGGTCAACTCCACCCAAGAAGGTCACCAATGTCATGGTATCCCCACCAGAATTACTGCATTGAACCAACTGGCACAACCATAATAAGGCCTTGTGGTGGAGTCAAAGACAAAAATCATAGGGAAATCAAGTCGCCATGAAATTTAAAGGAAACCAGTGTTACGGAAAAATATGGAGGCTGCCATTGCTGGCCTCCTGCTGAAAATGTTAATTCACTGGCTGCCTCTGTCAATACTTTCTGAGTCACTGACTCAGAACAAGCGTGGAGCCAGAGAGGTTAAAACTTTTGATGTACAGGTTTATTTGCGGTCAATCATTTAAAGTATTAGAGAAACTACATTAGTATAATAGCCAAGGAATAAGCATTTTTAGAAGGATCCCCAGGGGGCGAAGACCTAGTATTTCTCTCAGGACAGGCTCTCTTTTTAAGACAAGTGATTCTCTCTTTTGTTCCCCTCCTACACTGAATCAATAATTGTGGGTGGAATTGGCTTTAACCGTGTATGACTGCAATATGCCTTTGAAAAATTCCAAATGCTGTAAGAATGTTAATTAACCTTGCAGCAGAGAAATAAGAGTGCACACCTGTGTGTGTTTCTAGTTCTCAGGTTTGATGTCAAAATAAAAACTTAGTCATAGAGTTATTGTCAATTTAACTGGTGCACAATGAAGCTGCTAAACTTGGTCTGAGTATCTAAGCTTCAAAAACTGGTCACAAAAAATAGTTAAACACATATTCTCAATTCCTTTAAAGTGGAGAGTAGTGATCAGGCTGGCTTGGTGTTAAATCAGTTTGCCAATGTCTGCTGAAAACTGAAATCAGTTGCGGGGAGGTGCATTCCTTGCCCTGCTGTTACTTCACAAAGGGGCAGGAAATGCCCCGAGTGCAACTTACACCACAGATTGATGTCGGGTGGAGAGTGTGGCGGGCGAACTGAATTCGCACCGAGCATCCTCATCTTTGCTGGAGAGCAACTAATAAGCAATCTGGTACCTGACACCATGAAAAAACATTTGTTGCTTTTCCCATCTGTTTTAGGTAGATAAAAAGCCCAAAACCAAAATCCAAGAAATGTTAAAACCTTAAAAAGTTTTCCCCTCTGGAGGTGTCTTGTCAAACCCAAAATCAATTGGCAGGAAACATTGTGTTGGCTTCCCGGGCCCTTCTGGTGGGGGGGTGTCCTTAGCTGCAGGTCATGTGCAGCCATTAATAGCCAATACTTAGGTGACAATGCTGACTGCCATATCAATGGCACTGTTTCAGCGTTGTCACACTGTAAAGGAAGTGAAATCCTTGCGGGCAGTGTTTCTGGTAAGATCACCAGGTATGTTTTTCTTTACAGTATTCACACATGCAAATCACTGAACGCAAAAAAATAAAAAATCTCTGTGTTTTAAACAGACAGGCAAACTTTGCCGAGACCTTACCTCCTCCTCGCTGGCATCTTCAGAGTCTGTGTCAAACAGCGAGCCAAGATACGTCAGGTGAAATAAGGCCAGAGCACCGAACAGAATGTTTATCAGGTAGACAAGGAAACCCTGTAGACAGGAAGAAGAATATAGCGAACCGTCACCATAGAAGTAACATGAACAAACTCAAAGAACGCGTATCAAAGTTGGCGCCAGGATGCTTAATGTAGTCTCACCTTCTTGTTGCGGTGGGCACAGTTCAAAGAGCATTTCTTGGAAAGGATGCAGGCACTGAAGATATCTGCTAGTTTCTTTCTGAGGACTGAAACAATACAACAAAATATTCAAACAGTAAAGAGCATCTATCACTTTTAGATCATCTCATTCATCAATAGGTTTGATGCAGGTCACAAAAGTATAACTGTTCTGCCACAATGCTGCTTTCAGTTATCTTTATGTAGAAACCAGAAACCACTACTGAATGCCTAATCCTCTGCAATAAGTTCCTGAATAAAAGAATATGTGGAGAAGTATGTTTACCTAGAAGTGTGTTTTGCTATATGAATACACACACACACACACACACACACACACACACACACACACACACACTTCTCTTTGTGCCCCCCATCCAGTGCTTCTACAATACCAGGTCCCAGCACTTGCCTTCCCTTTTTTGCAAGTTAAATATGAGCTCTTGATCAGCATCATTATTCCAAATCAGTGATTTAGAAAGAACTGAACACAAATGATCAGCCAGACAACTAGCATATTCAGAAGACAGTCTCTATTTGTCTTCAGTGATAGGTTCAATTTGGGGAAATGTCTCAGCAATACACATCTGTCTATAGGAATTGTGCATGGACTCACCATGTTCCACGTACGTTAGGAATCCCAAAGATAAAAGCACAGCTGCCAGGTGGAAACTGAGACCCTGGAAAGCACATAAAAACATAGTACATATAGTAACAATGGATTCCCTGAAAACAGCAAATAGCATCCATGAGTTTTTTTCATGCTATACTGTAACCGATGTACAAATCTGAGACACTCACATGCAATAGAGCACTTGCTGCATATGTCACTATAATGGCATGGAAAGTTCCGAGTTTCATGGCATTCTTAAAGACATCTGAAAAGGAGAAGATCAGAAAAGACCGGTAAGTCTAGCCAAGAATTTGAAAACGTTTGTGGCCAAAGCCATTTTTACATTTGTTGCACACATGGTAAAATGCACATTTTAGGCCTGAAAATTGCTTAAAACCACCCAAAATCATATATTTTCCGAAAGCGAAGACCCTAGAAAATAAAATGGTGATAGTTTCAATTTTTATGTCACACCATATTAGCGCCATAGTTTATCAAAACCAAATTTTCAGTAAAAAATGCATGCATATTAATTTTAGTGCACAGAAACAATATAATACCCTTTTTTTGCAAAATATAAAAGATGAGGTTACATTTAGTAAATAGATACCAAACATGTCAAACTACAAGCTCAAGGGGTAAGTTCATTGGAGTGATGAAATGAAATAACTTTCCATAGATGGGTCATCCAAGATGCTGGGAAGGCATCTAAAAAGGTACCTGTAAACATTGCTATTGTAGTGCTACACCTTGTTTGACACCAATAAAGTACTGACAATTTTAAGTTACCCTAACAAAAAGAGAGGGCCTACTCCAACAGGATGGCATCTCTGTGAAAGAAGACCTGTGTATGTCCAATTCTAGCCTAAGAAAAATAGAGCCCTATTCATATACGATTCCTAGAGACTTACATGTGTGTAACCAGCGAGACATAGGCAAGTTCCAGCTTGTCACCACATCGACCATAGAGCGAGGAATCTCTACATTCAGAGGACGAGTTACAGTCAGGTCCCTGAGACAGACAGACAGCAATTCTTAGAATCGAGACATCTTCTCAAGTGTAAATCCAACATTTTATTTTATAAATGAAAAAGAAAAAAAACAAACAGTGTGGGGTGCTGATATATATTTTATTTAGATATATCATCAAATTTGCATTATGTTCTATCCATTTCTATTTTTTCACTGACATATAGGCTTAGGTTCCTGCAGTGTTCGTTTATTCAGTTCAAAAGGCTTTGGCTGGCCAGACGATTAAAAAAACCCAACATGCCCAATTTTTCCATTGTGATCATCTTGCCGTTTCAATGGCACATTAAAAGACAATAATAAACATGCAGGCATGAAAGATGGCCTACCAAGCGCTGTAACAAAGTAGAAAATGGCCTAACAACAATATGGAGGGGATGGACAATACAGAAAGTGAAAAAGAAAACTTCCTGTCAATAAATATACAGACAGCAACTCTCACCAATGAACATGATCCTTCACCTCGGTGTAGCCCGCTCCAGACAGGACTGCCATCACTTCTGACAGATAACCCACAAAATAATTGCTAAAGCGGAATGACGAGGCGTTCTCATAAGCACGCAGCCACCTGGGGAGAAGACCAAACAGTCAGTAAACTGAAGTTTATTATTGCATACTGTATGCTATTCCATTGTTCTTTCTCCCTCTTGTTTCTCTATAACGCCACTTCCAAATTATTCCATAGAGGCAATTATAGTGATCACATGGCTTTGTTTTATTAATACAGACACATCTACTCAGTCCTTGCTGTGCCTCATACAAAGTGAGGCACAATGAATGTCAGCCGGGGCTCTTCTGGTAAAAGTCAGACCAAAAAATATAAAATAATTAAATTTAAAAAAACTTTATAGTTAAAAATATTAGAAGAATGAAAATGCCTTTATTTAAACATTCTTGACCATTTAACAGCTAAGAAAGAAAACATAAGCTGGGTAATTTCTACCCTGTGCAACAAAAACAATGTCGAAATAATTTAGGTAAATAATTATAGAGCTATAAACAAGTTATAACTGGCGCATACTGATACTGATTGATAAACTGATCCAAGTGACTTAACTGTTTCCCAAAATCAAAACAGTTACTTTACAATCTTGCAAATGCATAGTCCATAGTAAGGAGTTTCTGCAAACATGCCAGAACAAGCGCCTATGCCAGAAACAGATGATTACATCCCCATGTCAAGGCGCTCTGAAGATCCTAGCACAGACAGTGTGTCATGAATGCAGGTTAAACTGTGCATGTGTAGGTGACATCATAGACTAAAATAAACAATGGAATCTCAGCAAGAGAACGGCTTTAGGATAATAAAAAAAAAAAATATAGAAGATGTACATGCAGTATGCATGCAGATGGGGCAAAGTGTAAAAATTGAGTTTAGCTCTACTTTATTTAATCAGGCCTTCTATATTTCAGTGACCACTGGTCAGGAAAGGGTTACATTTGTCCAAAAGGAAACCTGTGCTGAGAGAGATATGTACACTACTTCTGTCAAAGCTCCTTCTGAAAATGCTAGTTACATAGCTGTCTCTGGCTTCACTATTATCCGATTCACAAACCCAGAATAAGCAAGGAGCAAATAAAGGCAAAGTTAGGTCAGGACTCCAGGTCCACAATTTTCCAAGCCAGCCACTAAAAAACAGCTGAAGACTTTGGATCAGCAAGGCAGCCAGTCAACTAGCATGTCTGAATGGAGGTCACATTCTTCCCAATAAAGAAAAGCTGGAAAGAAGCAACAGACTTACCGTACGACAAACCCCCTGCCATAAAGAGAAGCAGAAATAAAGATGAGTGAGATGTAGAGCAGAGAAGTAGAATATGAAAAAGTATATTTAGTATCATAGTGCAAAAAAATTAAAAAATAAAACAAGGATGGCATGCAAAAGTGCAGCCAAACACGACAATAGATTCACATGCAGGAAAACAAAGCTTTATTGGTATTGCACTCAACACTGCTCTTATTGTACTGGTTGAAAGAATACGCCTACAGATACAGAGGTGCATGAGAAATGTCATATGTAGTCAGGATGGTACCTATAAATGTAATTCAAAGGGTTTCCCACCTTTAGAGAACTTTAGGCCATCATCTTGTATACCTTCTCCTAAAACAAATACTAAATATATTGCTTTATATGTTTTGATTCCTTTTGTGGTATAAATTTGCATGAGATTGTTTAAGTAAAATTGTTTATTTCTGTAGCCTTGTCCATCTTCTACACCAACATTCCTGTCGATGACTGCACGCCACCACTTTCCTTGCGGTGAGTTGTCACGTACATAAATTTTTATGCCCATTGTCACATATCTCACACGGCCCCTCTCCTTGTTTTTGTTCTGTGTCTCTGGTTTTGCCCTCTAACCTAAGCCCCAGGGCTGCCCTCCCCAACAACCACCTCTCCCAATCCTGCCTCACCATCACCCACTGTTCACCCAAGCGGTCCTAGACCCCAGTACACCATCTCCCCCCACCCAGCCAGTTCCCCACCTGCTAGACAGGTAAAACTCAGTTGGAGCGCTTCTCCTCCCACCTTTGTTCACTTTATTAGTCATTTCAGGCTGATTAAAAGGTCCCATTCACACTTGAGCTGAGCATTTTGGAATTTTTTTAGGCATTTAAAAAAAAACAATTTTACATGCATTTCTGCATGCATGTAAGGCTTGAGCACGGAAAAAAAAACCCACACGAAAAAGGCATGTTTTTTAGGTGCCCTATCTGGACAGGAAGTCAGAGTGCAGGAACAGATCTTCCTAGGCAACCACTTCTTTAGCTCAACTACTCTTTCTGTTCATTTCCGAAAACATGTTAATGTTTTTACTTCCCCAAAGCCATCTACAGTATATCTTACTGTAAAGTTTACATGTGTTTTCTTCTGCTAAGGTGGCTATACTAAATACAAGATAGAAGAAGAGACAGATGGAAACGGTATGAGATGATCAGTGGCACATGCCGATTCACAGAGGATAGAGCGGTATACCTGGCTTTGTGTTTCTTGCTGAAGAATCCATGTTAGCAGAATGAGAGGAAAAAGAAAGAGAACTCTGAAAATCAGACATTAGGTATCAGGCATAGAGAGAGAATAAAACCGACGGCCTCTCACAGATGGCCGATCACACTTTTTATTTTGATCCCTCTGCATAGTGATCTAATTTACTTGGCAAGTGCACTGTATCTGTTTATAAATTCTTTGTTAGGTTTTCAAAGCATATAGTAAATAAAAAGAATTGTCAACTGTACCATTACACTATATAAAACAGTCACACAATCCGCATTGCACAGCTTTGGTCCAAATAAAGATCCAGGTTGATCACCACTGATAAAAGAAACTACAAGAAATAACCTGAATATAAACAATCAAATTGCAACTACGTAGCTTAGTTCTCAAGCTACAATTAAAGTAATATAGGTAGTCGTAGGAGCCCAATGTACCACCCCGAGTTCCCTCTGCTTAATACGAAATGGTTGAACTTTTATAGTTATCATTTCTTGGTCATTGCATATACTGTATGTAGTATAAATGTTTGTTATTTTGAAAAGAACATATTGACACGTTTCCCTCCAAACGCACTTCAAGATGTTTTCTCAGTGTCAGAGTTTGTATGGCAGATATGAGATGTTTGCAACAAAACCATTGAAATGCAGCTCCTGTTATCATTAGTGTAAATCACTCCCTTTCTGGCCAACATGTTGCTGATAATCAATCACTAATAAGGGAGTAACTCCATAGGACAATGTAAGTTGAATTTTATGAATCTGTTACTGGTGACAAATATCTCCCATCTGACAGGATATATGGATGGAACACAGAAGAGAAATAGAGGTTTAGGAGAGTGCGGGGCCAGAAACAGCAGAAGATGCAGAATTAAGAGAGACAGGGCAGGATAGAGGAGGAAGGATGTGGAAAGAAAAAGATTAAATGCCTTAAGAGAGGGAGGGAAAGGACCAGAGGAGGAGGAGGAGGACCAGAGGGAGGGCAGAATGGGAGAGAATTGTGAGGAAAGCATAAAGAAGGTTCCAAGAGGTTAAAAGGGAATGATAGGGAGGAAGTGATAAAGAAGGATAAGGACGGGAAAGAGACTCAGGATAGAGATAATAGTTATGATCCCAGGAACAAGAGACAGTTCCAGCTGGAAGGCAGCAGAGAGATCCGGATACATCACATGGGTAGAGAATATGTTGGTTGTCTGGGTAACAGGTGATTACATTTTCCCATATATGAGCAAATACAATTTTAAAAAGAAAGAATAAAAGTAACAAAAAACACTTACTTCCTCAGCAGCCGGTCTCCATAGATAGGAATGAAGTAGGGGAACAGGTATGGAGACACACAAGTGGACATCAGCAGACAGAAGATGCTGAGAATCAAACTGCGCAGCACACGGCGAACCCAGCTGAATGTCTGCACCAAACACAAAGAAAAGAGAATCAGGTCAAGTCAGAGGGAAGGAACTTCAGTCAGTTAATTTTAAGTATGAGGCCCTGTATCTAAAAGGTAATGCATTTGCGTAGCCAATAGCTACCAATAAGATTTGTCTATTTAATTTACTTTTTTTCTATATGCTGTTTGAAAGCTTTAAGCTCCTTCTGCACACTTTCCAGGCTCTCGTTATCTGTTTTGCTGAAAAGGTTTGTTTATAGAGCTCAAAAGCTCAAGCACAAATTTGCACACACACAACTGACTCCTCCCTCACCTTCTGCACAGCTCTGCCCAGAGGTTTTAGTCACAGACAGTACTACCTGTTTAGGTACATATAAAAGATTAGATAAAAAAATGTAAGTTGAATAAAACTTCTAAACCATTACAACCTTAACAAAAGCATAAGACCACAACATTATAGGCATGTCACTGTTGGTGCAGGCTATAGGGCTATCATTGTGGAAAGGGCTTTAAAAGAGAACTATGGTTTAACCTTTTTTTACCCTATAGTTCTCTCTAGGGTTATGGGAGCACATATACTAACATCCTCCCATGACCCAAAACTCACTATATAGCGGGCTATTGCCCGCTATATGCTGAGAGCGCCGCAGCCGGGACGGATCCCAACAATACTGTTGAGATCCAGCAGGCTCTGCCTATCTAGAGGCAGAGCCAGCTATGCCCACCCCCTCCCCGTCCGTCTCTCCAGTAAGCGCTGGAGGATCGGAGAGGGGAGGGGGAAATCCCTGTGGGGAGCAGTGACTGACAGTCATCACTCTCTGGAGGGAGGTGATCGGGGAGTGAGCAGCGGTATGTTTTCACTCACCTCCCGATCAATAGAGCTAACGTGTGACAGTTATAATGTCACACGTCGGCTCTAACTATGGGGATGAGTGTAATTCACTCACCTCATAGTTCTCTTTTAAGGCTGAGAGATGAAAGAACTTCATAAAAGAAACCAGTTTTGTATTGGAAAAATGACATACTGTACTTCTGATTTTTGCTTTTAATTTGTTTGTTTCTTGTTATTTTATTTATTTTTTACTGTCTGTAGAAAATATTGAAAGTATTACTAAAGGCTTCTGTATAACAGTCTAAATAAGTACCAAATCCAGTTACCGTACTAAGTGATTTACAAGCTTCATAAAGTAAACATAAAACTTCCGTTAACTTGCCTGACTGAGACAAATACTCCTTTGTTTGTGTCTCACACACTCCCCCCCCCGACACTGTAGATCACAGTGAGAAGGTTACAGCAGCAGAGGCAGAGCTGCCAATCCATAAAGCAGTGAGCAGGACTAGGTGTGGCCAGTTGCTGATTGAGCTACAGGTTTGCCAATCAGCAGTAACAATGCTGATAGCCACGTCCCCTGCAATATCTCATCTCATCTCATTGTAGTGGAAGCAGGCAACTCTGCTCTGAATTCAGGAGAACTTGTGTACTTATACTGCTTGCATTTAAACACATTTAAGGATGTATTAATAAATACCAAGCTGCAGTAAGTGGTGTCTTTTAAATCTGCTTGGATTTCAACTTTCAAGCAGAATTAAGGGGAGAGTGAAATGCACTCATCCCCATAATTAGAGCCGACCTGTGACACTGATGCAGTCACACGTCGGCTCTATTGATCGGGAACTGAGCGATCACATACCACTGATCCCAATCTTGTCCCTGTAGAGAACGGTGACTGTCAGTCACTGCTCCTTGCAGGGATTCCCCTCCCCTCTCCAATCCTCCAGTGCTGACTGGAGGGATGGGGGAGGAGGCAGGCACAGCTGGCTCTGGCTCTAGAGAGCCATCAATCAGGTGGCAGGGTGGATCATGACAATATTCCCCGGCCATAGCGCGGCTCTGCGCTGTCAGCATATAGCGGGCAATACCCCTCTATATGCTGAGTTTTGGGTCACAGGAGAACATTTACTATGTGACCCTAAAGAAAAACTATGGCCAAGAAAAGTTGGGCCATTGTTCTCTTTTATTGAAATGATAAGGTAATAAGATAATGGTCATAAGATGTTAGACACAAACATAGGTGCTGTATAGAAGCATCATGAAAGTAGTATCAAGCTGTCAATGAGCATTTTTAACTGACCCTGTGTACAGTTGATGATATAAATCTACCAGTCTGTAAGAATTTCGGGCATGGTTATCATTTTGTTAAGACACCAGAGAAATCACCCAACCCTCGCTTCACTACCTAGCGATTTGCTCACCTGTACAAGTATGCAGAATAACAATCAAGACCGTCTAGACCATGAGTGGGCAACTCTGGCCCTCCAGCTGTTGTGGGACTACAATTGCCATGAGACATTGCAAAACTGACAGTTACAGACATGACTCCCAAAGTCATGTTGAGATTTGTATTTAAAGCACAGCTGGAGGGCCAGATTTGCCCACCCCTGTTCTAGACTGTACTGGCTGTATACCTGTTCTGGGTTATTGATTCTTCCAACAGTAAAGCCAGTATAAGGTTGACAGCCCAAAGATAGCACCACTCAGAAAAAGCAGCTCCCATACCTCTTTCATGACAGCTTCTCTTTAATTATGCCAAAGCATCCCAGTTACACCAGTTTCCCTCTTTAAAGTTCCTTACCAACTTCTGCCCATTTAAGGCCTGCTGGTAGCTGGTAAAACTGATCCAAGGCCCAAAGATGACAGTGCCAACAAAGTAGACGTATCCCATGAATTCCACAGGAGACGGGATGCAGCGTACAATGCCACGATCTACATCGAAACCCAAAGACACAGCCTTCATCGCTACTATCATTTGTGCACCTACAGAAAGTACAAAGACATGATGAGAATAAAGGGAGAGGGGACAGGACGTATTTAATGATTTCAGTATAATATCCGGCTGTGGAACAGTTTTGTTGCCCAGAGATTTCCAGAGGGTGGTAAGATACTGTATAGGTTATTAAGGATAAAATTATGCATATTTCTGGAAATATTTTATACTGAATACAAAGAGCAATTTATAAAGCTATGCTATGTACCCATATAAACTGTACTACTGTACTATGCCCATACAGGGAAAAGTAACAGGTCAGGGAGTGTGAGGAGCAACACACTTACCTCCTATTCACTCCTCCACTGCCATTTCCACATATCAGAACCAAAGAAAAATCTGGTACTCCTAGGTATAGAGGTGAATGTGACTATCTTGCCACAGTGCCTGAATGATAAATCACCTGCACGTTAGTGTGCCGCATTTGCCGCGCATCCCCGTTGAGCTCAATAGGGCCTGCGCGTGAGATAAAAGCAGATTTTGCTTCCACGTTTTAATGCATGCAAACGCATATCAAAAACGCACATCTTCCTGACTGCATTTGGGGTGCCATTAGAAATTAATGGTAGCGCAATCATTTTGCAACGTTTCCGTCAACGTGTGCCAAATGCGCTTTGGAGCATGTTCACCGAACGTGCAGGTCTAAATGCAGGCTTAGGCAGTGATTTTGCAGGGGCTTCCAGCTAGCGATGAGCACACTGGCCTGGGTTTGGTTCACTGGATGGATCTATGTGGGACGTATCTTGTAATTCTTTTCCAATTTGCAAGTTATTTATTGTAAAGCGCTGCGCAAGCTGTTGGCGCTATATCAATCCTGTACAATAATAATAATTAGTAGCTGGGTATTGCCATGGGGGACATGTACCAGTGGAAAAAAATACCATTCAGCGGGGAGCTTTTTAAAAAAAAAGACTTAAAGTGAAACATTAGAAATGCACAAATCCTTTAAATGACATGCTTGTGCGATGCCTTAAACCTGCATGTGAAGTTGCACAACTGTACGATGTGTTACAACAAAAGTGACATTTCAAAAGAAAAAAAACAAAACACATTTGTCACTAATCACAGTTCTGATCCACACAGACTTCCTTCTGTTTGTAAACAAACCAGCGGGGATCCTGGGTGATGTCACTGACCACATTTGGTCAATGATAGCACCCTGTATCCCCACCGGTTTGTTTACAAACAGAAAGAAGCCTGCTGGATCTGTTCATCAGGTAATGATCATTAGTGTGTGCTATGTTTATGTTGGCAAACCTCAACTTTTCCTCCAGCAAACCACCAGGACAGCAGGTAGCACATGGTAGGTATTTATATTCTCCTTACCTTCCCGGTTCTAAACCTGTCACTCTGAATGGGTAAAGTGCAGGTTTGCTTTTATCTACTCTTTATTTACCACCAGCTTAAGATATGAATCTAGCAAAAGAATGTTTATTTCTTAAAGCGTCCCTGTCATCAACCTAGAACGTATTAATTTAAACATCTCTAGTTAAAGTACTTACATAAGCATATATGTTGTATTTAGGTTGCATTCATTTGAACATTCTTTGAAATCACCAGTAATATTTCTGAAACACTCCAGATGCATGCAGCTGCTCCCTGTGCCCAGCCCTGCAGTCAACCAAGGTCCTAACATGGGTCTGGGAAGACCTGCAATTACAGTGTTTGCAGGCTGTACGAGACTTCCCCAGCACCTTGGTGAATATCAAGACTCCTTAGTGTCAGAGGTGACTAAAATGAAGAGGTATGCTGTCAGTGCAGTAAGGGCAAATATTACAAATATATACAGCCAAACATATGCATATGCAAGTACTTGTAATGCTTATCTTTAGTGTCATGGGATGGTGACAGGTTCTCTTTATGCAGGGGCAAAAAAAACAAAAATTTGCTGAAAATACAGTGTGATTTTTACAGGTGGCTCTGTGCCTGTGGGGAGTACTCTATGGGTGTAATAGAAATTTAAAGGAGATTCTAGTACCAACCTCTCATTTTATGCCAACTTGCTGTATCCACCATGTGCATCTCACTGTAAAAAGAGAAAACGCTTGAATCACAAAAGACTGCAAACGACACAATGCGTGGGTTTGAAAACATTTTTCTGAATGGCTCATACACAGGTTTTTACCATAATTACCATGCCATGAGTATATCACAGGAATAGCACATTAATTACGGTAATTTACCTTTCTGGATCCCTTTTGCATGCACTGTACTGAGTTTTACCCACTGGTCTCTATTACAATAGTTGCGTCCTGCTAATTGCTGGCCACGTCTATGCCTTGAAATACATGGAACCGTACATAAGGGTTTGTCTCCGGATAAAGTGACCATATATTAATGGGTATTGGCCCATTGACATGTGTTTCATGTCTGGCTGGGATTAACAAATGGCTTTTATAAACAATATTTATGTGTTTGGCAATGTGTTTGCACTATTTTGCCATATGCCAGTTTACAAGAATGCTTTAACAATACAATCTGTACTTAACATAGTCATTTTATTATACCTTGTTACATGTGTGTATAGTGCGACAACTGGGGATCTAATATTTTTCTAAATTCAAGGTGGTGTCACACAATAAAAATAAACCTTCAAAGGCTGAGTGATGACAAGAAAGCAAAGGTATACTATACTATACAATACTTACATGAGTTATTGCTTGTGTTTGAATGATAACATGATGATCAGTGGTCTAAATGCTCTGACACAAAGGCATTGCTCTGTTTGAGCTACAGCTCGCGGTATACTGAGACGCCACAGCCGGGACGGATCCCGACATTACTGTCGAGATCCACCCAGCTGCTGGATTGACAGCCTATTTAGAGGCAGAGCCAGCTGTGCCCGCCCCCTCCCCCGTCCGTTCTGCCAGTCAGCGCTGGAGTATCGGACAGGGGAGGGGGGGAATCCCTGCAGGGAGCCGTGAGTGACATGCACAGCTCTCTGCAGGCATAGATCGAGAAGTGAGCGATCTATTGTGTGAAGTGTTTGCTCACTTCCCGATCTATTGAGCCGACCTGTGACAGTTTCATTGTCACAGGTTGGCTAGAACTATGAGGCTGAGTGATTTTTACTCGCCTCATAGTTCACCTTTAAACCCATACACTTCCTGAATGATACATATCAAGACATAAAACTTGTGCTGACATTATGCTTGTGTGACCTCCCCAAAGAGAAGAAAACGATGTTCAGAGTACAGAAAAACATTGCAGCCAATCAGATTTCAGTAAGAGATGAATTCCGTATGGCTGCTGTGGCTGCTTTAGGCTTACTGATGCGGGGTGCACTGGCTTCTCACCCCATGAGGAGGTAGATAAGGACTGTGATGGACAGAAGCACCCCGCGGTGCTGAGAGTGTCGACACAGGAACAGGACCAGGTAACACAGCAGGCTCAGGAGGACCACCCAGATCATCTGCAAGTGGAAGAAGTGATAGAGGCAGAAGAAGCCACCGACGATTGTGAACAGATGTTTTACGTGAGATGGGAGGCCTGGAGGGAGAAAGAACAATGAAAGTCAGTCTAATACATAGCATACAGACACAATCTGCTAAGACATTCCACTGCACTCATTATCACCACCACTTGCAAAGTGCAAGCAGTCTGGTAAAGAGAACCTGTCATGAGAGAAAATACGCAGGCTGCCATTGCTTACTTACTTTGGAACATGTTGATTGACTGCCTTTAATACTTCCCGACTAACTGATCTGGATCACGCAATCAAGCAGTGAAGTCAGACTTGCTGCATACTAAAGCGGTCTCGTTCTGCCCCACGTTTAACAATGCTAAACGTGGATGGGGGAATCACCCTTACCAGGCTATTGTATTCTGACAGTGACGGAGTGTCTCTGATTGGCTGCCGTTACTGTTTGGCCATTAATTTTTGGCTCGGCTCTTTTGAAAAGGTTGGTTGAAAAAACTGACTCTTGTGGAATGGAGGAACGCCAACAGGGCCACACACAGGTTGAAGTTGGCCATGTCAGACGGACTCAGACAAAATTAGGGCAGTGTATGGACAGCTTAAGAAAGTTTTAGGGTCGATTCACACCACATGCATTGGGGATGCGCCCCTATGGCCGTTGTTTCCAGTGAAGCCCCAACGCAAGACAAGACAATTTGCCTTGTCACAGACGGGCTCAGTTCACACTGAAACAAGTATGGCATGCTGTACTTTTTTCAGGATGCGACATGGAACAACCTCCTCACACCACACTATGCCTGTAGAACTGAATTAAATGTCACTTTTGACATTTCAATAAAGTTCTACCCAAAAAAGTATGTAGTGCGATGTGTCAAGATTGGAAAATCAGAACTGTGTTGGGCAACGCACGCCAGCCAATGTGCGTTTTGTGCAGTGACTGGTGTGATTTGGCCTTAAAGTCGGATTATCAGCATGACAGCCAGACATCTAACTTCCTCACAAAGGTCAGCAACGGCAGCCTATATTTCCCTCATGACAGGTCTCTTTTAGCACTACGGAAACCTTTTGAATCTGGCTATAAATGATGTTTACTGATCACAGGGACGTATTTACCAAACTGTCTGAAATGAGAACTCAATTGACCAATCAGCTTGACCCTTCTAACTTTCTAGTCTACACTAAGAAAATACAAATGGCTGACGGTCATTGACAGCCTAGACAGTTCTTATTTCCGCATTTTGGTGAATAAGCCCCATTATATCTGGGCCTCCCACGTTGTACATAGAAGGTCTCACCCAGCCTCCAGAGCACCCTACAGCCCAGGCACATGAGTAGCAGCACCCAGATCTGCTCCAGACCCTGCAGAGCGGTGGGAAAGACGCAGCCATGGAGTAGTTGCTCGTAGAACTCCCTGCGGCTGAAGGCGGCCATGTCTGGTCCTGGGAAAATGGGGGTTCAGCGGTCACAACCTGCAGGCAGCAAACACACATTCCATCACACTCCATAGAAAGGCACATTTATCCATACAGATCCATATTAACACATAACATTATCAGAAATAAAGGGACATACTACCCAGCAGCAGCAGTTCCAGCTTTGCTCTATTCCATTCCTTCTTTCATTCTCTCCCCTGAAAAAAGGGGATGCTTTCATCAATAGTGTCTGGTCTTAACAAATGAGAGGAGGGCAGAAGAAAAATGCACCAGTCACTAACCAGCACTGGATCTCATAACCCAATCGAAACTTAGCCAAGCCCGTCCAATGAAAGAACAGGACAAATGCAGACTGGCCAATCACAGCCTAAAAAATGAGTACCTCTGCGTGCCACAGAGCAAACCAACCCTGGCTGACTAATCAGAGGGAAAGAGCTACACAGCTAGCCCAATCAGAGTACAGGAACATGCCAATAAGACAGTGACCCGGGGTTTCAATGATTGCCAGTCACGCTGGCCAATTGGATTGGGGCAGGGGTGGGATTAGCAGAGGGTCAGATCGCTGAAAATGTAAAAAGGGTACACGTCGTCAGAGAATACCTGCGGCGGATTGTATAGTGGACTGCTCTAATTCACTTTTTCATAGGATTGTTGTTAATAGAATATTATTATATTCATGCGGTTGCAATATAACACGTCTGTATTCTTCTTTTAGATGTGATTCTGCTGACATCCAGTGTCGTGATTTGCTATTGCATGTTATGCTATGCATTGTACTGGTTAGACTTACTTCAACATTCCCTCCATCGATCAGGAAGTGGAATTCAATTGTCAGTAAGTAATGAATAAATAAAAAATACGAAAGTATTGTACAAGCACCAGATTTGCAATTTTCAATAAAAGTCCAGCCAACTATACCTTCAAACCAATAAAATGGCCGCCGACATATCTAGGAGCTAGACTTTTTACCATACAGCCCTGCCCCTAGCGTCGAGTAGTGGCATAGCTCCATAACCATGGTGATATGGGGTGGAGCGACCGCGACTATAGCCAAGCAAAGCCTGGTCCGGCTGCTTTTAACACACCCTCACCAATCAGATAGTGTGGAACGAGCGTCTTACGAGGCTCATAGTCCGCGACAGTGTCCACCCCCTTCATTTCGACCAATAAGGCGCCGCATTTCAGCCGCCAATAAGGCAGAGGGCGCTGGCTTTTTCAATGGGTCGACAACGTGTGCTTGAAATGCAACGTTCTGGTTGGATGGCAAATTACAGACTTGTTATACGATTGGAGGTAGAGTGACAGTAGGCGGGGGAGTCCTACTCTGTATGCAGGTAGATGTAGATTATAGAGAAGTGCTGGAGAGGCTGCAGGGAAGGAGAGAAGTAAGTCTATAAGTTCAGCCTTTTCTTTTATATACAATATCATACCATATAATAATATACATGTTTGCTAGAGGTTTCTCCTTGGAGAACATTGACTGCCTCTGTCATAAAACAATACATTGCGGGGTCTGCACATAACTCCTAAAAGTATTCTTTGTGCAATACTGTTGGGGTTATTATTGCAGCCAATGACACCAACACTAAGCGTTATTATTGCAGCTAATGACACCAACACTAAGCGTTATTATTGCAGCTAATGACACCAACACTAAGCGTTATTATTGCAGCCAATGACACCAACACTAAGCGTTATTATTGCAGCTAATGACACCAACACTAAGCGTTGCAGCCACTGACACCAATGCTAGGGGTTATTATTGCAACCAATGCTGTGGGTTATTATTGCAGCCACTGACACCAATGCTGGGGGGTTATTATTGCAACCAGTGCTGGGGGTTATTATTGCAGCCACTGACACCAATGCTGGGGGTTATTATTGCAACCAATGCTGGGGGTTATTATTCCAGCCACTGACACCAATGCTGGAGTTATTATTGCAGCCAATGGTGGGGTTATTATTGCAGCCACTGACACCAATGCTCGGGTTTATTATTGCAGCCAATGCTGGGGTTATTATTGCAGCCACTGACACCAATGCTCGGGGTTATTATTGCAGCCACTGACACCAATGCTGGGGGTTATTATTGCAGCCACTGACACCAATGCTGGGGGTTATTATTGCAACCAAAGCTGGGGGTTATTCTTGCAACCAATGCTGGGGTTATTATTGCAGCCACTCACACCAATGCTGAAGTTATTATTGCAGCCGATGGTGGGGTTATTATTGCAGCCAGTGACACCAATGCTCGGGGTTATTATTGCAGCCACTGACACCAATGCTGGGGGTTATTATTGCAGCCAATGCTGGGGGTTATTATTGCAGCCACTGACACCAATGCTCGGGGTTATTATTGCAGCCACTGACACCAATGCTGGGGGTTATTATTGCAGCCACTGACACCAATGCTGGGGGTTATTATTGCAACCAAAGCTGGGGGTTATTCTTGCAACCAATGCTGGGGTTATTATTGCAGCCACTCACACCAATGCTGAAGTTATTATTGCAGCCGATGGTGGGGTTATTATTGCAGCCAGTGACACCAATGCTCGGGGTTATTATTGCAGCCACTGACACCAATGCTCGGGTTATTATTGCAGCCAATGCTGGGGTTATTATTGCAGCCACTGACACCAATGCTCGGGGTTATTATTGCAGCCAATGCTGGGGTTATTATTGCAGCCACTGACACCAATGCTCGGGGTTATTATTGCAGCCACTGACACCAATGCTCGGGGTTATTATTGCAGCCACTGACACCAATGTTCGGGGTTATTATCGCAGCCACTGACACCAATGTTCGGGGTTATTATTGCAGCCGCTGACACCAATGTTCGCGGTTATTATTGCAGCCACTGACACCAACACTAGGCGCTATTATTGTGGCCAATGACACCAATGCTGGGGGCTATTTTTGTGGCAATTGACAACAACGCTGGACATTATTATTGTGGCCAATGCCACCCAACGCTGGGAGTTATTATTGCAGCCACAGACACCAACAGCAGGGGTTATTATTGCAGCCACTGACACCAACGCTGGGCGTTATTATTGCAGCCACTGACACCAATGCTAGGGGTTATTATTGTGGCCACTGACACCAACGCTGGGCGTTATTATTGCAGCCACTGACACCAACGTTGGGCGTTATTATTTCAGCCAATTACACCAATGATGGGGGTTTTCATTACGGCAACTGACACCAATGCTAGGGGTTATTTTTGTAGACACTGATGCTGGGGGTTATCTTTGCGGCCACTAACACCATTGCTGGAGGTTAATATTGTGGCCACTGACACCTATGCTTGGGGTTATCATTGCAGCCACTGACACCAAAGCTGGGAGTTAATATTGTGGCAACTGGCACCTATGCTGGGGATTTAAGAACAACTCCAGGCATTTTAAAAAACTCGAACCCCTAACTAAGTAAATAGTAAAGACTGGTGTGTACCGAGGTAAAAATGCCTCCTACAGTAAAAGGGGAAAGGGAGTCCATGAGTGCATCACGGGTTCCCTTGATCCCCTGATCTTTTTCTGAAAATGCATATTGCAATTCTGATTCAATGATTTCCATACTTTCTGAAGCACTGACTTGGATCAAGAGTTTTCTGTGCTGCCCAGGCCAGCCAATCAGAAGCTGCTCCAGCACATGGGAGGATGTAGTGAAGTGGGACTGGTAGCTGAGAAAGACATCAGCAGTTTTTATTTCCCACGTTAGTTTTGTCTTGTTTAATTTTAATATTTCCTTCACAGAAAAAGCAGCATGGCATCCGAAGCAGTGGCCTCCGTTCCTCACCCTTTCTGGCCTCGTGATCTGCACATTGAGGGATACCGACCCAATGACCGAGCCATGTGGGAGATTTTGACCTTCCTGTTCTCAGTATCCGGGGTGTTCCTGGTTGGGACCTGGTTCCTGTCTGGCCGTGTTGTTGGGATTAGCACTGCTCGTCGCCTCATCCTCTGCTGGTTCATGATCTGTGGTTTCATCCATGGTGTCATTGAAGGCTGGTTCTCCCTCTTTTATCACATTATCCCAAGGGACCAGGCCTTCCTGTCACAGCTGTGTAAGTGGAATAAAAGGGCTTAAAATGCATTTTAAAGCTAAAACTGTGCTGTATTGTTTTTTAGTTTTGGATAAAGTAGAGAAGGTTTTGAACCCCTGTCAGGTCTGTATTGTGCTTTTGTCCCCATTGGGAAGATTCACCCTCCCCTTTTGTCCTGATGACATTGTCAGTGATGGGAATTTCAACATGTTTCAGCTGCCTCTAAAACAGGAGGATACATTTTCCAATGGGGATACCTGATCCAGAAGGGATCTGGGCTTCATTTCAGGAGATTTCTTCTCATTTCCTGTTGTGTTTTTGTAACAGGAAGCAAAGGGAAATCACTCCAATGGATCACAGACAGCAAAATATTCAAAAATAGCGTTTTAAAGATTAGGGGGCAGGGTGGTTTGATTTATGAGAATGCATTATAAAAATGTTTAAAAGATGTGACAGAGGCTCTTCGTGAACACTGGGGACTTGCATATGAAAGTGTCTAATAAAAAAAAAACAATGGGGGTGTTTACAAATTTCAGGTTGCAAAGGAAGTAGTCACTGATATGTATTTTACTTTGAATTACATTTTTGACCAGTCATCTTTCAGCACAGCACAAGACAGGGTGACTCATCTCATGCGCTGCCCTGGAAGATTTTGGGAAATCAAATTAACAGATAAGACTACCTCACTTTTTCAACCAAAATCATTTACGAAATTGTGTACACTGTACTATTATGTAAGGGATGTGATTAACAACATTTGTTTTGTGCTGAGATTGCCCAGTTTTCAGCCTGTATAATCTTTCTATATATCCCATTTACCCATAGCAGTCTATTAACTTCTCTGCTAGAAACACCAACAGGGTTATTCACAAAAAGGTGAAGAGTTTGGAGAAGGCAGGAGAAGTGAACAATTTAGGACAACATAGATGATTTGGAAAACTTCTCCAATTCAGATCACTTTCCAGTTCAGCTATGTTGTCCTAGATTGTTCACTTCTCCTGCCTTCTCCACACTCTTCACCCTTTTGTGAAAAACCTTGAAAGTGTTTGACATGATAGCCCGTAATGGACTTTGTTCACTAACCAAGGAAAACATCTCTGCTTATCAGATTTCAGCTCTAATTTTTCTGTTGCAAAAATACAAGTCCCATGAGGCATTGCAAGACCCTGCCAGCTGCAGATATTCTCCCAGAGGCAGAGGCATTATGGGGTCTGTAGTTTCAGTACAGATGGAGTGTCAAGGTTTCCTACCTCTGCTCTAGTTCAACTTAGTAAAGAAAATAAAAACATCTAATTGGTTGCAAAGTAGAACAAGAACACTTTTTTTTCTACACCTTACATGAGGCCTTTCCCACCTGTGCATGTGCAACAGTGTGTGTGGGCATGCACATTTTCAATGGGCTGCTCAAGACGCGGCTATCGTACGAAAGACGTGCATGCACCTTTTTTAATAAAAATGTTACGCACCAAAACACATGGAGGGGGAATTTATCAAAACTGGAGCAGTTGTGCACAGCAACCAATCATCAGGTTCTCTCTTTCTTTTTCAAATCTTAACTGAACAAACTGAAGTAAGCAACTGCTCCAGATCTTGTCTGCTCCAGCTTTGGTAAATTCCCCTCATGGTTCTTTTGTACCATGCGTTTATAACACTACTGTGCACTTACTGGCAGCGATACCATTAAGAATGTGTGCAATGGTAATGCATGCAATTTCACATGCATTTCCCCATGCACAGGCATGAACGGAGGCCTGTCTGAAGAGGCTGTACTCTTTCTTAAAATTATATTTACCTGTCTATCTCTTGTCTCAATGCTTTGCGAGTCACTGACCCAGAACAAGCAGCCAGCTAATGAAATCTTTTATTCTGCATACTTGCAGGTCAGTAGGTCAGATAGTACTAAAGCCTTTAGATCAGTATTACAACAAGGTAACAAACATTTTTAAATGGAGAGTTTAGATTTGACATCTTATGTATTTTTCTGCCACTGTGCTTGTCACTGATTTTTCTGTTGTATCTCATTTAGGGAAGGAATATGGCAAAGGAGACAGCAGATATGTGATGTGAGTATCAAGAGGTGCCACCTTTAAATGTTTACTCCGTACACAAACTCTATCTAAGCTTAAGAGCATTGCAGTCCGAAAGCTTCAATTAAGCGCAGCCCCTGATGTTTCCACCTCTTATGTGGTTTGGCAGTCTTTAAAAAGCACAAGGTTCACTTATTTGACAGCCCCCACCCCATAATTCCAAAACACTGGGAGAAAGGAGTTTATCAGAATACAAAATATTGAAAGTAAAAGAGAAAAAATGCCTAACATACTCCCAGGTTTACAATGGGTTCGCCTAGGCATAAATCCAAAGAGAATGCGCACCTGCAGAGTGCAAGATTTGGGATGCTGAATTTTCCCAAGATCCTGCAATGAGGCCCAGAGCTGTCAGTGTCAGGAAAAGGAGGGAACCCGGAGAGTAAGGTATTTTGTATGTGCTTCTTTCCAGTATATTGTAGTCAGGGAGTGGTTGCTACCAGATAAGCCGACCATGTATTGTTGCAAGGTCTGCATTAAGGTGGCCATACACCTTACATTTATCGTTTGATTTATTTTGTCCTGTCATCAAACCCCTGTTCGATTTTACACTTGAATACCCCATCATACACAGACCAATGTAGTTTTCGATATTCGCTCGTTAGCAATACTAACTAGACATGTGCATTCAAATTCGGACCAACCTGCAAATCAACGAAAGTCAATTGATTCGGTGGTTCGTCCGAATCCGAAATAACTAATTTTTTTTTATGCCCAAATATAATAAACCGATATTCGGGCATTAAAAAATCCGTTATCAGAACATGTGGCGGCCATCTTGGAGGCGGAGTGAATGATGTCACATGACGCCACGCATGTGCACCGCCATTTTGGAGTATATCTTGGTATACACCAAGGTGACGGCTCTCACATGTTCGGGGGCGGCCATCTTGGTGTATCCCAAGATTTACTCCAAAATGGTGGCACGCATGTGCAAAACGCCACTCGATCTGTTTATTTGTGCGGTTTCTGAGGCTCGTTGCCTCCGAATCTGAAACAGCATTAACATTAGTTTCCTTTGACGAAACAAATGAAAATGTTTTTCATTTTCATTTGTTTAGTCCGAAACAAATTTTTCTGCCATGCACATGTGTAATACTAACTGGCTGAATTTTGTTGATCGACAGAACAGATTTTCTTTTGCACATGTGCAGTGTTCATGTTGCGATTTTTCTTCCATATGAAAACGCCACTAATCCATTCAATTTTGTACGATTCGAACAAAGTTTTCCAGCCTGCCCGATCAAGGAGATTCCCCCAGTTGTACAGTACTTATGATTGTTCACTTCCCATCAAGTGAACAATCATGGCCGATTATCGTACAAAAACCCGATCGCGTTTGTTTTTCGCAAGGTATATGGGCACCTTTAAGACAACCAATGCTGCAGCTGCTTTTGGGGCAATGAGGTCAGAGGACCGAGCAGAAGGCTCTTCCCATTATTTAACAGCCCAATGATTAACATTACATTCTATATATTGCTACTGCCTCTCCTTTACATCTCTTAGTCCCTGTTCACACCTGGGCGTTTTGACGCTGAAAGCTTAAGCGTCAAAACACACAACACAAGAATTCCCATTCACTCCTATGGCGCCTGTTCACACCTGAGCGTTTAGCAGCAAGCTGTAAGAACGCTGGAAAAGGTGCATGAGCTTCTTGCAGTCAGATTCAGCGCTTTTGTGCTCCATTGATATCAATGCAAAACGCAGCGTTTTTGTGCAAAAAGAACGCGCGTTTTTAAGGCGCATATATATTGTGGAAGACCACCTCCAAAGCACACTGGGAATCAAAATGACTGATTCATGTTTGCAGAAGTTTGACTCTGAGGCATTTATAAGGCTGGTGCAGGCACAACCATGCCTGTATGACCTGCGCAACTCCCTTTATAAAAACAGAGGAAGGAGGAGGCAGGCTTGGATCCAAATTGCTTGCCAGGTTTGGGCAGAATGGGAATCTTTCCCTCCATCCGTCCAGGACAGCAAATGTAAATCTATATAGTTAGTTGTGATACTGTTGTAGTTTATGTTTCTGCTTGCATGTGTGGCTATTGTAGGTCTGTGCCGCTGCAGATCTCCATGTGTTGTGGAACTGCAAATCCCCGTATACAGCTACCTCTGGGTGTCATGCCTGTTTAACTTTTCTGTGTGTACAGACTTTTATATTCATCACAGGACTTCCACAGCTGCTGAAAGGCTATAGTTGTTAACCACTTGGCTAAAGTGTAGGAGTTTATTATGTCATGGGCAGGACCTCTTTTCATTGGACAACGCTCAATACACCCATATGCAGAAACGCACCCAAAAGGTGCATGTATTTAGTGGAAAGCATGCCAAAACGCAGGCGCCTAGGTGTGAATGGGGACTTATACCGTACTGTCTTCTGTTTGAGACAATTGTATTAATAGGTTTGCCCAACCAAAAGAAAGATTTGAAATATATGTAAAGCTTGGTAGTCATCTGTATATACTGTATGTAGGCAAAAGGCAAGTCATGTAGCCAGATACACCACCTGAAGGAAACCTGTCATATGAGTAGCTGTAGGCTTGAAAGGAAATGATCATAAAAGTGTTCACGGTCACTGCTGACCACTTACAGATACAGTATTTTTTAGTTCCCTGACCATCTTGCTGGTTTTCCTAATTCAAATCTTACTAAGCCATTAAGTTGGAACACATTTGCGTTCCATTATAATCAGGTTTTCTAAAGAAATGGGATGTAAGAAAATATCTCCCCTCAGTACCAGAACTTTTTGTTAAGTGTATATGTGTGCATTAAGGTCAGCTTGCCTTAATTGCTCTCTTTCATGATATCTTATTTCTTTTATTGCCACTCCTCTTACAGAGCTGATAATTTCACAGTTTGCATGGAAACCATCACCGCCTGGGCTTGGGGTCCACTCAGCGTTTTGACTGTCATTTCCTTCCTGCAGAATAAGCCATACCGTTTCGTGCTGCAGCTCATCGTGTCACTTGGTAAGGGGGAGGCACATATTGGAACTGAGCAATGAGCCCATGCATACAAGCTAGAGCAGCAAAAATTGTGTTGTGATGACAGCCAATCAGTCAAAGCTTTTTGCCTAGAGCTGGAAAGTGTTAGAACCTCTGGTAAGTCTAGTGACCAGGTTGGGGGATTTCCAATCAATTCCTGTCTTTATGACCACTGCCACACAAGGTGTCATAGGGATAGGAAGTCAAGAGAAATGTCTCCTATTGTCACAAAGGCCCTTATGGGACACAGCGCCTTGTGCACAATAAGTGCAGGGGCTTATTGATCTTATTGGTGCACCAGGCTTGCAGCTTCTTGTATGTATATGGTCACGAAACGCCTAGAAAAATACAAATATTCATAAAGGGCTGTTTTAAGATCTGTACACAGCTAAACTTGGGGAACAAAATACAAATTTTTACACATTTCTAGGGAAAATCTTTGCAGCGACAGCACCCTTTCAATTGATAATGCAGCAATAAAGCAGGGTGGCAACATACATCAGTGACCTTTTGCAGCAAATGGTACAAGGGTCAAAGCACAGTAACTAGTGACAAACAATTTCTTTAAGTCACGCCAGTACCAGTTAGATTCTGATTGATTGTTGTAGGTCCTGTACTTTGCACTTAACACTTTGCTCCCTGAACTGATTGATTGGATAAGTCTGCAAATATTTCACTCTTCTCTGTCCTCACAGGTCAACTGTACGGCGATGTCCTGTATTTCTACACAGAATACCGGGAAGGTTTCAGCCACAGCGAGATGTGGCATCCAATTTATTTCTGGTTTTACTTTGTATTTATGAACGGTCTGTGGATTATAATCCCATCTGCCCTGATCGTTGATTCCTGGGTCAACCTAAGCCAAGCGCAGGGCAGGGCGGATGCTGTGCGTCCTACAAGCAAAGCCAAACGAACCTGAAGGCGGCCGATATGCCAACAGGAAGTGGACAGCCTTATTCAGAGAGTACAGGACAGTCAGAAATACCATTTGAAGTTTAAATCTGTGTACAGCACCCAGTAGTATTTCTTCTATCATTTAATTTTTGTATCTGACAAGATGGATATATTCTCTGTCAAAATAAAAAAAATTTTTGTAACAGTATCTGTTTTCATTGAACTATTTAGTCTGTATGTTTATCTTTGACATTAATGTCAGATTTGAAACAGCTGTATAAAGTCTGTGGGGGACATTTATCAATTCTGTTGCATAGCAAGGCAATGTTATACAGCAGGATTGAGGTGGATTGTGCAACAGATTTATTACAAGGTTACAACGTGAGTCATGAATTCCTTCTTCAGCTTCTCTAAGGCCTCATTCACACTGCCGCGCATATACGCACGTATTGTACCATATGTTACATATGCAAATAAATGCTCCATACACACAGCCACGTATGGAGCCGTATATTTGCGTAGCGTATACAGTATATGCGCAAAAACAGAATGGAACAGAGATGTTTACGTATACATGCGTACAGCACATTAAAAATTCCATTACGAGTGATGCATTCTGGGATTGCATATAGTGCACGCATATACGCTCGTATATACGTGCATAGACGCTCGTATATACGCAATATACAATTTTGCTTGCGTTGTGTGTGAATGAGGCCTAAAGTAGCACTGCAACAGAATAAAACCTGAACCTGACCACTTCTTAATTATGCATTTGTTTAGAGGGGAAATCTTTCTCCTCCTCAGTATGAGGGCTAGTTCACTTTGTTTTGGGGCAGGAGGGGGCATGGCGGTGCATTGAACTCAACTTGAACTTGGTACCGCAGCCATGCCCTCCGGCCGCAGTGCAGTCGGCTGCATGGTAATGCATGGCACATCAATGCCTGCATCCCGGTCCGTTGCTATCAGAAAAAATAGTGCATGTGGCATTTTTTTCTAACCGCACCAGACCTGAACGCAGGCATTTATGTGCTACGTGCGGCCGGAACACACTGAGGCTGGTGTGAACTAGCCCTTAGACCTGTCTCAGAACTTCAAATCTGTTACAGTTGGCTTCCCAGGATTACAGATGCAAAGGGTTGCAAATACACTGTAAACCTGTCAGAGAAGCAGACTGATTTGTGTCTCTGTTGATAATTTGCTTAAAGGCATGGTGTTTTTTTACCTTAATGCATTATTTGCATTGAGGTAAAAAATACCAAGTACCTTTCTATGTCGTCGTCCCCCCCACACTTACCTGTGGCCGCTTGTCTCCTCCTCCAGGACCAGGAAGATACTCGGCATTCCCCGAACTTCCTGGTCCTGGGGGAGGGTATTGAAGGCAGAGGAGCCATAGGTTCTTTCTGCCAAGGTGTGGGCACAGCTGGGAGAGAGCACGCACGGGTGTCTCCTCAGCAGCCGGCTAGCTGATGGAGACACCCATACAGGGTGGGGTGGGCCAGTGGTTTGGGGATAACTAGAAAACAAGGAGATTAAAAAGTATAAAGCAAACAAAAAGATGAATTAAAAGTACCTCTGGCACTGTCAATAAAAATAAATAAGGTTTAATATCACTTGAGATAATGTCCCCTAATGCATGCTCCTCTCTTGGCCACAGCCCAAGAACATCAGAAATCTTCCTTTAATGTCTTGTACAACCAGTGTTACTGCTCCTACAGTCATGCTTTTAGATTAACCCAACCTTTTAATTTTTTGATTAACCCTAGTGTTTCTCTAGTGGTTGCTTGGGGTTCCTTTAAACAATCAGCAATTCCTGCCTTTCAGATATGTATCCACTGACAACAATAATCTTTTTAGCTATCTGTAAGGGTGCTTTCTTCCAACTGACAAGCAATGTGAGAATTATTCTTCTCAATGATCGCCACATTAATGGCAGAGGTTCCCCAAGACGTGAAAGTTATTTCAAGGGATCCCATGTTAAAAAGGTTGAGAAAGGCTGTATTAATGTGTTGCCATATGTAATCTGTAGATTAATGCCCTCATGCTGAGTCTACATTAAAGTGGACCTTCACCCTGATCCTCATGATAAAGTTTGTAAAACATTAATTAACATAAGACTTATGTCTTACTATATGCAGGCTGTTGTATCCTGTATTAGGTTTTTGAATGATGTTGTGTACTATGGGTAGAGTGGCAGTGTATTTTCCAGGACACTCTAAATCAGGGGCCTCAAGCTCAATTCACTCGGGGGACACTCAACAATTTTTTTTTCTCCCATGGGGCCCGCTTGCCAAATTTCATACTTTAAAATAAAGTGTAATTATATCCGGTATGGTACTACGGACAATAATATACACTGACAATAAGGTCCCATTCATATCTCTAGGTTTAGGTGCGATTAGGGATTCCTGCATCAGGAACTTGCGTTTTCCCGAAGCAGGAATCACTAATCTGGTGTTTACAAGTGACGGGGATCGCCCAATAAAATTAATGATCAGGTGACAGCAGCAGCATGTAAATGCCTGCACACCGCATGTAATGATATGCAGGGATCCCAACCTGAAATAAGTCATTTCATTGAGGTGCCCTTCTCATTTCAGGGAGATGCCCTCTGTCAACTCCCCCCCTCCTCTACAAGGGTGCAACAACAAGGAAGCGAGCACCCCCTTGAAATGATGGCAGATAGCAAAGAAGCTAATGCTTCCTTTGATATCTGCTGGATTTTTTTTTGTGTTCTGACAGCTGCTGCTGTCAGGAAAAAAAAATAAAACGGCATAGCAACTAATAGCTAGATTGCTATTGACTATTTCAATTTGCAATAGCCTATAGCAAGCTGGCTATTGCACCCGCCCTCTGCTGCTGTCAGTCAGCAGAGGTGGAAAAGATGGACAACTTCAGGTCCACCTCTGCTGATTGACAGCAGCAGAGGGTGGGTGCAATAGCTAGTCTGCTATTCGCTATTGCAAATTGAAATGCTTTTTTTTTTTTTTGACTGATGGCAGCCCCGATGTCAGAAAAAAAAAGACAGCACGGAAAGGGTTATTCTGCTAGATAAAGCAGAGTACACCTTTCTGGGAGAAAATGTTTCTCCCCCAGGCGTCCGGGAGCCGGCATCTAATAGCGGGAGACTTTCGGAACATCCGGGGGAGTTGAGATGTCTGGATATGTGATTAATATTACATGCGGTTAGAAAACACTCTGGATGCACAATCGATGCGTCCAGGGAGCGTGATTGATTCCTAAACAAATGTAATCATATTGCATACCATTACATGCGGTGTGCATGTACATATAAAATAATACACCCCCCCCCCCCCCACACACACATATATATATATATAAAATATCTGTGCACACCTGCATGTAAAATACAATACAGAGCCCCCTCTCCTGCTTACCTTTTTGCAGCGAGGAGGCTGTCAGGAGGCACGATCACCAGTGATTAATTGGTAAGGTCTGCTGCAGACCTTACTAATCATTTCGAGTGCGGCACCGAAGCAGTTCTGCGGTCTGCATCCAACAGAGATGCAGACCGTGTAGCAGCTCCCATAAGTCGGGTTACGCGGTCCGTTTACTTTTCTTTGAGACCACTGCTCTAAATGCTATTCTGTCTAAAGTTCACTTATCTCAGATCCCCCAATTCAAAGTTGTAGATAAACTCATCTGGGCCCTGACTCAAACGACCAAACTGTAGCTGAGGTCCTCCAATATCTTCTCGTTATTTATATAACAACTGACTGACAATATAAACACTGGATGTATCTGGTGTCTTATAATTTAAAATTCTCACAAAAGAATACGTAATTTTTAGGGCTGGTAATGATTAAAATTTTCGTGTTCGATTAATCGAAATTATTTTTAATCGATTAATTTTGATTAATTATAACACACATACAGATCCAACTACATTGGCCTATACACATGCAGCAAAGTCCAAGTCCCATTCGCATTGCCACGGTCTATAAACCACAAGGTATATGTGGTGCCCAGGTGACCACACGGATGGTGCCGTGCAAAACACTAATAGTAAATAAAAGTAATTCACCGGCACACACTTGAAGGGTTTTTAAAGTATTGATATGTTTATTCAATACCCAATGTCACATACTGTCATACAGTGCTAACATTTCGGGTCCGCACAGGGATCCTTCATCACTGTCGCTCTGATGAAGGATCCCTGTGCGGACCCGAAACGTTAGCACTGTATGACAGTATGTGACATTGGGTATTGAATAAACATATCAATACTTTAAAAACCCTTCAAGTGTGTGCCGGTGAATTACTTTTATTTACTATACACATGCAGCACAGCAATGAAGTAATAAAATGTACTAGGATCACACTAATCCAGCACGTTATTAATCTCACGTGCCCCACTCAATATGGTCGATGCTTCCCCTCAAACAGTATGAGGGGAATTTATCAAAACTGAAGCAAAAGTATTTGGAGCAGTTGCCTATGACAAGCAATCAGCTTCTCTCTTCAGTTAAGGTTTAAAAATAAAAGGTGGATGCTGATTGGTTGCCATAGGTAACTGCTCCAGTTTCTGTCTGCTCCAGTTTTGATAAATTCCCCTCTATGTATCTTATGACTTTCAGGGCTAGTTCACAGGGCCGGTGCTAGGATTTTTGCCTAGACAGGCAAAGTTGCATTTTTGCGCCCCCCCCCCTGACCTGTTTTTTCCGCCCTCACCCTGCAGCGCCCTCAGGAGCCCGCTTGCCTTGCCTTGCGGTAGCGCCGGGCCTGCTAGTTCACACCATTTCCAGTGCGTTCAGGTCCGATTCGTGCTGGAACGCACTAGATTGCATTCGGGCCACCTCACTGCATTCTGGCCGCAGTGTGATCTCCGGAACACATGGCAAATCAATGTCAGTCTTCTGGTCTCTCTGGGCCCCCCAAACTGGCGGAACACCAGGGCCCGGTCGCAAATGCGACTGATGCAGCCCTGGTAGTTTCGCCAGTGCCGGTATCTGCAATTAGTATTGGGTCATTTTCACGAGTACGAGTGCTTGTGAAAATGGCCAGTATTGGCACAGGTGCATCCCTACTTAATATAATGTATTGCTGGGACTTGCAGTCCTGCATAGTTGGTGGTATTCAGCATTGTTGTATAATCATTATACATCAATGCAGAACACCACCAGC